GATTCTCAGCTTGAAGCTTTATATTTGAAAGGTTTGACCAAGTTTTGACTTTTTAGTATTCGATCTCGGATTTGGATTTTTATAATTTGGTTTAGCTCCGTTAGGTGATTTTGGACTTGGGAGCGCGTCCGGAATGTGATTTGGAGGTTTGTGGTAGAATTAGGCTTAAATTGGCGAAATTAAAAATTTAGCGTTTCCCGGTCGGCAGTGGAAGTCTTGATATCGGGGTCGGAATGGAATTTCGAAAATTAGAGTAGGTTCGTTGTGTCATTTGTGATGTGTGTGCAAAATTTCAGGTTATTCGAGCGAGGTTTGATAGGTTTCGGCGTCATTTGCGGAATTCGGAAGTTTGGAAATCCTTAGGCTTGAATCCGAGGGTGATTTGGTGTTTTGATGTTGTTTTGAGTGTTTCGAAGGTTTGAACAAGTTTGAATGTTGTTACCTGTTGGCATGTTTGGTTGAGGTCCCGAGGGCCTCAGGATGAATTTGGGTGGTTGACGGTAGGATTGGCATTGAGTTGGTGCTGCTGAAAATCTGCTGCTTCTGTCATATCCGCACCTGCGGATTGGGGACCGCAGATGCGAGCTCGCATGTGCGAGCTGGGAGCCACAGATATGGACGCTATGGGGTTTGGTCCGTTCTGCAGAAGCGGAAGATTAGTCGCAGGTACGATGGTGTGACGGCAGATGCGGATAGTGGTTCACTAAGTGGGTTCCGCACCTGCGATGGAAATTCCGCAAGTGCGGTGCCACAGAAGCGTGTATTTGACCGCAGGTGCGGTTTTGCTGGACAGAAAACCCCAGCTCGAGGTTTGTTCTTCGTTTTTCGATTTTGGGCTTGAGGAACTCAGGAGAGAGGCAATTTTTCAAGGGATTTGAAGGAGAAACGTTGGGGTAAGTGATTCTAACCTATAATGGTTTAAATTTCATGAATCTATGATTTTATTCATCATCTAATTGAGAAGTTGGACTAGAAATTTGGGAATTTAGGGCTTGAAATTGGAGAGTTTAATTTGAGGATTTGAGGGGCCATTTGACGTCGGATTTTGATGGTTTTGGTATGTATAGACTCGTGAGATGATGAGGATTCTAGTTTTGTAATCTTTATCGGATTCAGAGACGTGGGCCCGGGGGTCGGGTTTGGCCAATTTCGAGATTTTTGATGTAATTCGATAATTTTCGCGTGGGTTTTGTTCCTTTAGCATGTATTAATGATATGATATTGATTTTGAATAGATTAGGGACGATTTGAGGCCGAGTCGAGTGGCAAGGGCATCGCGGAGTAGATTTTCGTCCGGTTTGAGGTAAGTAACGATTGTAAATCTAGAACTGAGGGTATGAAACCCCGAAATTTCGTACTATTTTGATAAATGAGGTGACGCACATGCTAGGTGACGGGCGTGTGGGCGTGCACCCGTAGGAATTCTGACTTGGTCCGTCCGTGGCAACTGTAGAGTTGCATATTTTAATAAACTCTATATGATATCTATGTGTTTTAGAATGATTCTATTAACTTGGGCTGAATGCCATATTTGGGGTATTGTGCGGTACTGTTTGGACCCTCAGGGACATTTTACTGTTATCCTCACATTGTTTTTTATAGAAAGCATATCCTCAGTCATAATTTTTTTTTACCTGTTTATTGTTTGATTCAGTTTCATTACTCTATTTTTAAATATATGAAAGTTGTTTGGGTTGAGTTCCCTGATTTTCCACTGAAATGCCCGAGTGGCTTGTGAGGTTGATGACTGAGAGAGGCCGAGGGCCTGATGGTGAGGATTATATAATTATGGATCGGGCTGCGTGCCGTAGCGATATATATATATACATATATATGGATCGGGATGCACGCTACAGCGATATATGGATCGGGCTGCACGCCGCAGCGATATTGGGTCGGACAGCATGCCACAGCGATATAGCGCTTGGGCTGTAGGAGCCCCTCCGGAGTCTGCACACCCCCAATGAGCGTAGTCAACTATATATTTATGGTTCGGGCTGCACGCCGCAGCGGTTATTATACGGTACCTATTGAGCGTGAGTGCTGAGTGTGGGTGCTGGTTGATGAGAGTTGAACCACGAGTGACTGAGAGGCTGGCCCGAGGGACTATAAATGAGCGATACTTGCCGAGAGGCTATATATATGAGCGATACTTCGCCCGAGAGGCTATATATATATATGAGTGATACTCGCCCGAGAGGCTATATATATGAGCGATACTTCGCCCGAGAGGCTATATATATATGAGTGCTAATTCGCCCGAGGGGCTATATATGAGTGATACTTCGCCCGAGAGGCTTGTTTACGAAATTACTGTTTTCTTTCCTCTTCTTTTATATTGAGCCTCTATTGAAAACTGTTGAACAAAAATATTTTTATATGTTTTTCATTGAGACTGGAGATTTACGAGATATCTTGACTGGGATATTGATTTGGCCTTTGTTATTTTTTACTGAGACTTTATATTGTGAACTTTATGTGATTTTACTGCTCGTCACTGCACTCAACCTTTATTTATGATTGTTACTTACTGAGTTGGTGTACTCACATTACTCCCTGCACCTTGTGAGCAGATCCAGGTATTTCTGAGCCCGGGAGCGGGCGTTGATTACTCAGTGGCAGGTCCATCGGAGTTAGTAAGGTAGCTGCCTGGCGATCGCAACCCTGCTTTTGTCCCTCCTATCTTATAGCAGTTCAGTTGCTTTAGACTCCTTTGTCATTTTAGTAGACTGTATTAGACTTGTACTCTAGATGCTCATGACTAGTGATACCCCGATGTCGGGCTTGTGTTATTTTTCTGCACTTGTTATTTAGACTCATGTTACATAAAATTTATTAATTAATAGCTTAAAACGTCTTTTTATAAAAATATTGGTTTGATTCGTAATTTGTGTCGGCTGGCCTAGTTCAATGATAGGCGTCATCACGACCGGGTCGGTTTAGGGTCGTGACACATGGTGTTTTACTTGATATAGAGAGAGGCATAAGCTTCCGTGGCAGGGGCATAAGCCCCATGGATCTTTAAAATTTTAATAACATAATAACAATAAAATGAAATATTAAAAGTTTAAAAGTTAAAAAAAAAATTAAAGAAACTCATAGAAAACAAAACATCTAACATATTTCTTAAGTATAAATAATGTATACAAATCACGTATCATGTTTTAACTTATAAACAATTAAGAAAGTCACAATTCCTTAAAAATATTATCAAACTCCACATTTTACCTTCCTAAAAGTAAATAATCAATAAATCTTATCAATACTATAATTAAATATTACTCTTTCATGAATAAATATAAATTATTTTAAAATATCAAATTAATAAAAGTCTATAATTAGGAGATATATATGAACTAAGACATGACCAAACAAGTGAAGATATAAATTCACAATACTATAGCTCATCATTTGAGTTACATTCAATCTTCGTATTTTTATCGATGAATAGAGCTTTTATCATTAATTTGTTAAAAAGTTTTTAGGGTCAATGATGCTAATTAGGAAATCCGACACGTAATTTGGGTTAGAACTGTTAGGCGAGCTCCGAGCATTGGGTGTTAGGCTTGTTTAGGGCGCACCCGGATGCTTGGGGCATAAGCCTCACAGGCGAGTCCCAAAACTGACTTTAAAAACACTAATCACAACTTAAATTTACAAAGTTTAAATCGACCCACCGCGAATTATAATGTTGGCGTATCATATATGAATATCGAGGTTCAGGTATTTCAATTTCCACGAAAAAAATATGGAAAAATATTTACACGCATTCGGTGTTTACATCTAATCAAATTTAATCTTAAGAGTCAATTCAATTTTTTATATACATATATATATATATATATATATATATATATATATATATAAAGTTTTATCTATTTCTTAATATGTTGTAAACAAATTAAGTTACATGTAAAAAAAATTTCATGAAAGAAGTTGGTGGTGGGGTGTTTGTGTGTGTGTGTGGGGGGGGGGGGGGGGGTTTGGATGTAAGCAGATAATCTAGTTCCATGAAGTAGTTGGAATGCATTTAGACCTCACATGCTATGTTCTTTTCATATATTAAAGCCCATGTACTTCTTTTTATCTAAATGCATAATCATGGGCCAATCCATCTCAACAACCTCTAAATTTTCAATTGTCCCAATACTTGACCTTAAATGATGATGAGGCCCACTTGATTAATTGATGATTGAATGACTTTTCAAGGTCCTGGTTTGAATTTGTTACACTAAATAATATACATGAAAACCCAGAATGTCTAATAGACCCTCATAAATGAACTAGTAGTATATAAGAACATGCTGCAGGTTTGAGATAAAATCAAAAGCTAAAGACAAAAAGTTTCTTGTTTTATCAAATGTTGGAAAGTGTTAATTATCTGGTTTCTTGCTTAATGGCTGGATTATGTCTAGGATGGATTCTAATTATGGATAATAAACTTGGACATACAGAGTCAAACATAAAATATATTAACAAAACCTCCATGATTAGCTTAATTGACTTTAAAGATTTGCCTTTTAATAAGACTACATGAGAACCACACACAGAAACAGGTTGCCTTTTTATTACCAAACTCTGCCTAATTGAGAAATTGTTGCTCCAAGTTACAAATTAAATATGTATGATTGAATAATAAAAGAAGAAGGAGTACGAGAATGCATTTTCTTTCATTTTTCTTTTTTCTTTAATTTGGGTCATAGACTAAGATCATTTCTACTAGAACAAAAAAGATTAGTAAAAGTTATCTTCTGAAACATAAAAGTGAAAAATAGGGAATTACTTTAGTAAGACCATTATAAAATTGCCTAAATTATATACTCATTCAGTTTCAACTGTTTCTTGGAAATTGCCTAAGATCAAGGAGCTAGTTACAACAAGTTAAACATAATGGGACACATGGTTCCTTTGTTACATGGTTCAAAGTCCAATACTTATTTGTTCTTGATATTAAAGGCAGTTCGATGTATAAGATCTCCCGCGTTCACGTAGGGTTCGAGAAAAGCTCGCATCCAAAAGATATGATGTGATAGCCTACCCAAATCCAAGGATTAGTAGCCGGTTACACTGCTCAAACCCTTAAACTATAGATCACACAGAGATAACTTTACTGTTACACCAAAACTCCCCTTCATTTTTACCTTTCTTGGTAATAGTAGGTGAAATTCAAAGGTCAAATGCCCTTCACTATTATCCATACTTTAGATGCTGATACAGAGACAGAGATTCAGTAATCAAGAAAGGTAAGTGGTTTGAAAAGAAGCAAAAGGACAGTTGAAGAAAAGTAAAAAGAGAAAAGGTCAGCTTTGCCATTGTTACAGATAGATTTTCCCAATAACACAGTGTTGTATTATTTTGGTGTCCCCTTACTCTTAACGTTCAAATTTACCCTCTTGTCCTCTTCCTCTCTCTATCTACCTTTAATTCAAACTTGAAATATTTCAAAGTTCAAATCTTTATAGTATCTGTCCTAAGCTTATAAAATTCTACTGAAATATTACTGTTGCTCTCCTCATTCAAAAAAGGAAAGTGCTTTTAATGCTGGTAAGCTCCTCACTCACTCACTCATTCACAAACTAACATTCAATTCTCAAAAGCTAAAGCCTTTTTCTTGATTCTTTGCTTTCTGGGTGTTTCTTCTTTCTTCATTCTGAAGGCTTTTAGTAATCAACTACTGAAAGAATAATCAAGAGAAGTGAAGTTTTGTTGGTAAGAAATGATGGACATTATTTTGATTTTCCATTTTCTCTTCCTTTGAGATAATGCCATTTCCTGTGCTTTTTTTTTTTACCAATTAAATAAATGATGCATTTAAAGCCAGAAAGATCAATTTTTTCTCCCTTTTCATAAACCTTTATTGACTGAATTATTTGGTAGATCTTCATTTTGCCGAACATTTGAGTCTGTCCAGACAAACATGCATTATGATAGCAGTTTCAAGTGAGTAATTCCAATCTGAAAATCTAATATATTTGAAACCCCTTTTTAGTGTTTTGAGAAAATATGCACATCTTCCAATGACATTGACATATGCATGGGGATAAAGGTGTCTGGAAATTTTCCTTTTGCTCTGTTCTAAACGCATGCTTCACTACTCTCTCTGTCCAATTTTCCTGCAAAGAATGCTTTCCTTTTTCTTTTTCCTTTTCATCATTAAAATGCCCCCAAAAAAATAAAATAAAACTCTTTCTCTCTCTCTCTCTCTCTCTCTCTCTCTTTTTATTTTTAATTACTTTTTGTAATTGCTTTGGGGGATGCTTGTTATACTCCTAAAAAGGTGTTGTTGACATTTCTGCCTTTGCTGCAAAAGGGGTGTGATTAATAGTATTTACTCCTTTGAGATTAATAGTTAACTGATTATTCCTGCTTTTATTGGGGTTTTTTATATTTTTTTACTTCAAATTAGTTTCAACTTTCAATTCCCATGCAATATAGAGAACTTGATGCCTTTTGTATACTTGAGAACTGATTGATCCTCCACTTCTACAGATCAAGACTTAAAAAGTGGTAGAAGATTGCATCATTGAACATTTTAAGAAGGTGAAATGCCACGATCAAGGTGAGTTACTTGGAATGGCTTGAACTCCCTATCAATTCAGTAGGAGTTATATTTTCTACTGTAATTCATTTTATTATGTGTAACGTACGAGACATCTTTGTTTTTCCCTCCGGAATCTTTAGACTTTCTACTGCTTAGCTTTCAATTCGCCTATGACTATCAAATGAATTGTGAATAACCCGTCCTCCTCTCTTTCATAGAGGGGCTGTGCTTTGAGTACAATGTTGTCTAATTTCTAACAGCACTTTTCCCTTTGTTTTTAATTTTGAGGGAATAGGGGATCAGAAATGCATCAGAGGCAATCTCCTCGAGTCCCTTTGCAACTGAGAACATCAAGCTCTGATTCTGATCCTCTACACCATCGATCAGTGACTGACCGGAGTCCTAAATTGGGTGATCGCCGTTCGCCACGAGGCGCTCAATCTGATCCACTGAATCAAAGGAAACTTGGAACAAGAATTGCAGATTTGGAATCTCAACTTGGGCAAGCACAAGATGAGCTCAAATCTCTGAAGGGGCAGTTAGCTTCAGCTGAGGCTGCAAAGAAAGCAGTTCAAGAACAGCTCGAGAAGAAAACCAAGAAACCAACTGTTGCTGAGCCTGAGCAAATCCAAGAGACCAGCAACAACAACGACAACAACAACAACAACCCAACTCATGAAATTCCAGATGATGACCAGAAAGAAACAGATGTTTTCGAAGTTCCAGTTGAGAAGGTAACATTGGAGCCGCCTCCAAATGTTGAAATAAGCCACCCCTCTATCGAAGAGGACCTGAAAAGTTCAAATCTATCACCTGCTGAAACACCAGCCATTGCTAAACCGGTTGCTGAACAGGAGAAATCATCAGTTGAGGAGCTGAATTTGAAGGATGAGGAAATAAGCTCATTGAAATCCAAGTTGGAGGAGAAAGAAAAAGAGCTTCAGGTTTTTAGCCAAGAAAATGAGGGCCTGAAGAAGGAGCTGAATGAAAAAATGCTAGAGATATCGTCCGTTAAGGCCAAAGAAGAGGAAACGAGCCTCAATCTAAACCAAGTGACACAAGAGCTGGAAACAAGCAAGAATGATGCAGTTAATATACAGGAGAAACTTGAGGCCACTGAAAAGGCAAAAGAGGCATTAGAAAATGAGATGAAGAAACTGAGAGTCCAAACAGAACAATGGAGGAAAGCTGCAGATGCTGCAGCAGCAGTATTAGCAGGAGGCGTGGAGATGAACGGGAGAAGACTATCTGAGAGGTGTGGATCAATGGATAAGCATTATGGTAATGTATTTGAACCAGCAGTTGGAGGATACGGCAGTTACATGGGTTCGCCGGGGTTGGTTGATGATTCTGATGATGTTTTTGGACATGGGAAGAGAAAAGGTTCTGGTATTAAGAAGTTTGGTGACCTCTGGAGGAAGAAGGGTCAGAAATGAATGTATCCTTATTGAACACTTGAGAACAATGTATGTTAAGTATGGTCAGCAAAATGGTTCCTCACCATTTTTAGCTTTCTTGGTTAATGTATGAATCTTTTTCTTGGCATCTGGCTTCTATTATATGCTTGTGTTAAATTTCTGTTTTTAGTTAATCTTGTTTCTTCTAGTCTAGCTTGATTCCTTAACCTATTATTCAGGGCAGTGTCTTTAGATCCATAACTGGATGTTTTTGCGCGTGGTTTATGTCAATATGGTTTGGGGATTGAATGCAATACCAATTTGAATGCAAGCTAGACTGGAAATATGAATCATGCTTAAAACAACAACAATATAATACCCATTATAATCCCACAAGTGGAGTATAATCCCACAATTGGAGTCTGGAAAGGTAATGTGTAGGTAGACCTTACCTCTACGGTCTACGCTATGGGGCTAGACAAACTGTTTACAAACATTTCTTACTTTACAGAACAGTAAGCGCAAAATTGCCCTGATTGTAGAACCCTCACTATCAATGAAAAATTGAAGGAAATTTCGTAATATAGTTTCCTCCTTGCTAATAAACTTTGCCCAGCTAATTAACATTGCTCAGGGTCTTAGGATAACAGGAATTACCTGCCTCATAAAACTCAGTCACATAGAAATGACGTTCTTATCTTCGAATTGTCAAGCAGATGTCTTTTCTTTTAAGGCAAAAAAGATGAATAAACACAGGAAATGAAGTTGGTTGATTCTGCTTTTACAGTCCGTTTTAAATTAATACTTCTACTGTCTTGAACGTGTCTTGATTTATATGTTAACTTCTATATAGGCCAAATACATTATGCAGCCCATTCAACTTGGCACATATGTGTATACACAAATCTGAGGTGTAAATTAAATGTTGCCATTTGGTTTTTTCATCCATATCAAACAGGTCAATACTAAAATACCTGAACTCGACCAGATTTTTGAATTTATTTTATCTAAACAGGCCAGGTATGAAATCGGTAGATGAAAGCTTTGGAACTTAGAGAATGAAGAAGGGGCACCAGTGGATGAAAAAATACGGTCGGGTTTAGATATTTTAGTATTGACCCGTTTGACATGGATGAAAAAACCAGATGGTAATATTTAATTGGATATTTATTACACCTCATATTTGTGTATACACACGCGCTATATTTTTTGCACTGGTTTTAGCTTTTGTGTTAAAGTGGAACATAGAAATAGAGTTGGAGGGCCAAAATGGAACATATAAAATAGAGTTGGAGGGCCAAAATGGAACAAGGTAGAAATAGAGCGCCAAAATGAAAAATGGTGCCAAGTTAAATGGGCTGCATATGTATTTGGCCTTCTATATGCCCGGGCCCAATATGAAGAAAATTTATATATTGTTTTGTCATACATTGTGTTATCTTTTTTATTCAAGCAATTGACGAACTAAATTCATAAGGGATTTCACCACTGAAATAAGTATTTGCAAAGTTCAATACTTTGAGTGACTCCATTTGTGAAACAACTTTAGGTAAAGAGTGAATAACTTGAAAGTATGAGGAATAGAGGCAAACTCTATCAATTCTCCTACCTGTAGACCTGCTTGCAAGCCATTTGTAAACTTCTTCTTGCAAGAATTTATAAGATACTTGAGTAAGTTACTTACAAAATTCCTTGAAAGATATATATTTGTAAGCTTTTTGTAGAAGTTGCTGGTCTATTTACGAAGATGTGAAAATATTTATTAAATGGATATCCACAACAGTAGTGAATTCTAAGTCTTTGAATTTTCAAATGATGAACAAAATTTTGAACTTCAAAAAATGTAAAGCAAACTATTATAAACGTATAGCTAAAGAGTGCCATTGGGAAAGAGTTCCTTTATAAGCAAGTGACTTGTATGAATGGAGTACACATTGCAAAGTTCAGTGATGTATACTTCTAGCCTCAATCAATCCACTAAAGATATATTCTTCATAGCAATTACTGAATCTTTGCATAGAACAACATGTTTGTAATATTGATGTCAAGCAGACAAGATATACATTAATACTTTGAATAAACAGACTGGTATGTACAACATCTAGAGGCCGCTCCAATATCCAAAAATAACACCAAGTGCCTTCAAAAACATAGACACATACCACTGGCAATTATTTATACAAAAAATGTGGAACACTTTGTTAAGGCGGCCAAATATCTAAGACTGGTATGTATAACATTTAGAGGCCGCTTCAATATCCAAAAATAACACCAAGTGCCTTCAAAAATATAGGCACACACCACTGGCAACTATTTACACAAAAAATGTGAAGTCACAGTTAGCTGGTAACTTCAACTTTTGATGATGAACTATTTGCAAACTAAGTCCTGTAGAAATAAATTCCATGAAAAGTGTTAGTTGATTAGCAAAGTAACATCTTTCTTTTCTTGCATAATAGTGGTCTTCTTCTAATTAGAATCTCCAGTAACATCTGAAGCGTAAATATATGTGACTCTCATTAGTCAATTTTTGAGAAATCTATTGAAGAATGATGGAGAATGTTTTATCTTCAAAATTCCGATAAGAAATGTATATTCCTTGCAGAAAAAGAAGCAAAAAGTTTAGACATAAACATAGGTAGTTTAGATGCACAACTTACAACCAATTACAACATCTGAAGGTAAAAACATAAATATGTTATTAATCAGAGCACACAGTCAGACGAAAATAATTGATGGTATTAAAAAAAAGGATACAGAAGCAAGGATTTTCTCCATCAACACAGCCAATTCTAGTTTCTTTCTCCATTCTATTCAAATTCAAGTTCCTTCAAAAGCTACCAGTAACTATTGGCACATTTAATATCTGGCTCCAATTTAGCATGTTCTCTTTGATTCATTAAGTTGTTAGTAAGTAGAATATCCTATAGTTAACCCATACAAATCATTCATAGTAAGTCATGTTGAAGAGCTCAAATTCTTAAAGGTATATAGTCAAAAGAAAAAATGACGAACTGATGACTGTTTAAAAATTGCTAATTGTGAGCACGTGATTTTTGCCCTAAGTAATAATTCCCAAAATCTCAAACAAAACAATTTTTTCTAGCATTTTTACAAATTTTTGTGAATTTTGTGGCATTTTTTGGTAATTGTTGCATTTTTGTTTGTTTGTGCATTTTAATCCATATGAAAATACAAAAAAATGTGCATTTTTGCATTTAGGATTTAATTTCATATTTTTAGCATTAATTGATTTTAGAACAAATGTTAAGAAAATAACAAAAAAAGGGGGGTCCATTTTGCATTTTGGCATTAGTTTGTATTTCTCTTTAGGAATTAATTAGGAAATATAATTGTTAGAGTCAATTTGTTTTAGTTTTATTTTTAGCATTTTTTTTATATATATAAAAAATATGAAAATAAAATACAAAAGCAATTAAAGAAAATACAAAAGAAAATAATTGGGTTTCATTAAAATGCCCGGAATTGGGCCAGATCTTGTTTAACAAATCCCAGCCCAATTTTGCCCAGTTCCAGCCCAAAACACTGGCCCAAACGCCTTGCCCGGTCCGTCTCCCCTGCCCAGCCCTAACGACGTCGTTTGGTCCTAGTCAATCCTGGCCGTCGAGGTTTCATGATCTAACGGCCAGGAAGCTAGGGTCAATTAATATATATATGTCCAAACACACCCCCCTACCCCCCTCACCACCCCTCTCTCACCCCCATCCCTCAGAGACGCATATAGCCGCCGGTATAACACCACCGCGGCCCCGCCTTCCTCCGCCGTCCTCCGCCCTAGCGCCGCCGGCCGGAAATCGCCGCCGGCGGCGGCGATGCTCCGATCAACCCCAAAATTACACCCCAGATTCCCCTTCTCCTCCTTTACCTGAATCCACTGTCCTTTGCTTTCAAATCTTACTGGAACTCGTCGAATATCCGTTCAAAAGTTTCCGGCCAAGTCGCAAACTCACCCAAACTGGCCCAAATTCGTACCATATGTCCCTCATCCCTCCCTCATCATTAATCCCTAACCAGAATCTTTCGAATATTGCCAAAGCTTCTCGAATTTTAGATCTTAGACTGGCAGAACCCTAGCTCAGAAAATCTTGGGGGATTTTGGACCGTAATTTCCCTAATCATGTGTGTTCTTTTGAAAACACACGATTAGGGATGTTACGTGTCAAGAATCCCGGAGGATTCAAACAAATGGCCGGTCAGAGTTTTCCCATGGTCAGTCGAATGCTCTAATTTAGTAAGTTTGCTGATTACTTCTATTTTGATTCTTATTTTTGGGGTTCCGTATCTGTTCTAAGTTTAGTTTACGATTTGTTTCGAGTCTGGTCGATCCTGTTTGAGCTTTGTTTGGATTTCAATTCGTTCCTCAGCATCTGAACTGATTAGTAATCTCTTATGGTTGCTGTTAGTTAGCATTAATTAGTTTAGTTTAGTTTAATTAGTAATCGTATTAACACTTCCATGTTTAGGGTTTAATTAGGTTTTATGATTTGTTAATGTTCTTCGTGGAGGTACTGTTCTCAGTCTTCATGTTTGATTTAAATTTATTCCAATAGGTCTAATTTTGTTTAGTTTAGTTAGTTGATTCATGAGTGGTCACTGCAATTTGTAGTTCATGGTTAGGTTGGATTTCATGATTGGTTAATTGTGCAACAATTCGATTGGGTGGGATCTTTTGGCTATAGCTGAACAAGATAGTGACCAGCAATTACAGTAAAAGGGTTTTGGTCTAGCCAGTAATTTCAGGAGGTTCAAAGGGTAGTTTTGGCATGGGAAAAGAGTACTTTTATCAGATTTGGTAATTTTTGAAGGGGGGTAAGGATAGAATAGGGATTGTAATAAGTATAGAACCTTCTAGGATGGACTATAGTGTAGGTTTTAATAAACTTAGGGTAGTTACTTGTGTAACAAGTCAGAAAGTAAAGGGTAAACACTGAAATTAGAATAGGGACTAAGGGTAAAAGGAAAATCTGAAATTGGACCCTAGGTTCACCTATAAATAGGCATTCATTTGCCTTGATGAGGGAGTTTTTTTTTAGCCATCAAAAATCCCCCGGATTCTCCACAAGGTTCAGATCAGAAATCTGAAATCCAACCCTTCCTTGGATCTTAGTTCTCTCAAAATTTCCAGAAAAACAATAGAAAAAATCAAAAAAAAATTACTGTTTCATTAATTTCTCCTTTGCTCACCTTCAGATTCCAGTCCTTAATTCAATTGTCTAGCTCATTAAGGATCAAAAATAACCTGAACTCATCTGATTCTGCTCAATGTTGATATTCACAAGCTGTTCGAGCCATGTGTGCATGAGGTCTGCTTAGTTCGAGTGTTGTTTGTTTACTGGTTGTGTCAGTCCTGGGTTCATCTCTGGTTATTTGGTGCCATTTTGGTTTGACCTGTGAACTCTGTGGGCTTTCCAATTTATCCTGAACTGCTGAATCTATGCTGGTCTGTTGTTGAGATTTTAAATTGGTTCTTTGAGTTGCTGCTGAAGCTGTTACTGCTGCTAATCTTTCCTTTTCCTATGTCAATTCAAATCCCAGGTACACGTTTATGAACTCACCTTGATGTTAGCTGTGAAGTGAAGTGGAAATGGAAATACTGCCAAATCTAGGCTCATTTGAACGTTGTTTAGTTGGATAAATGTAATTGGTGTTAGTTAGTAGTTTTGAGTGTATGAATAATAGATACATTTGGACTGTTAATCTGGACTGTTATGGACTTTGAATTNGATGACTGTGGCCCTGAAAATTTAGTGCACAAGGTGCCCGTTTGCAATCTGGGCTCGAGGCCCATTTTCTCTTTACCTATTTCTGGTTATTTAAATTTGGGTTTGAAATTCATAGCCTTAACTAATTAAGACTTTCTCTTCATTTTAGAGACTGAATAAAAATGAAAAATCATAATTGCATGAGGTTTGTCTTCAAAAGCTAAATGAGACGATCCTCGCTAAACAAAACAAACAAATTGCGGGGCCCTCGATAAATGCTTATGGTAAAAATGCCTAGACTTCGGGATGTGTTGTCTAGCGAATTTCACGACCTTCCCCAAATAATAACACGCTAGCTACTTTAGGCGCGCATTTTAAATAAAATCACCTTCCTAAACACGGGTGCACATTTATGTGACCCAAATCCAAATCTCAACGAAGTCGAAATGTGTTGACAATCGCGGGTGCACTGGTGCGACGCGGTTCGAAACATATTTTCACGACGTTGCAATTCTTTTTTTTTTTCAAAAAAAATAAATAAATAAAATATAAATAAAAGCGGTTTATTAATAAAGGGCACATAGGTTAGTACATGTTTTAAAATCAGGTAAAAGCAAATACAACAGTGGAGCGACCGTGCTATAACCACGGAACCCGGGAATGCCTAACACCTTCTCCCGGGTTAACAGAATTCCTTACCCGGATTTCTGGTGCGCCGACGGTTAACAGAGTCATAACTTCCTCGGGTCGGGATTCAACTGGTGACTTGGGACACCCTAATTTCCCAAGTGGCGACTCTGAAATCTTAATAATAAATCCCGTTTCGATTGTCACTTCAAGTTGGAAATAACTCCCTTTACCATACCCTCTTCCGCGGGTGTAGTAAGTAAAAAAGGAGGTGTGACACTAATCGATACCAATATCAATCGAACTCCTCAAAGCTGAGATTCAAAAATTATTTTCTCATTAAGATCACTGTGCACATCATTGTTTGAAGCGCACTCTGAAGCATATGGCTTTGTCCGTGAAGTAATGAACCCTCATTCTCGTTTCACATTGCTCCATCACTTTAAGTGAAGGGCATATATAAAGACATAATAAAATCAAAATGTTTCTAAAGATTCAATCCAATCATTTCCCGAAATCATCAGCATCAAATTATTCTTTGCAACACTTCAAATAGCAGAAGATACGCAAAGTCCTCCTCACACATGACTCCTAAGGTAGGTAATCCACTATTTTATTGCATAAAATGTGCCAATTCCTCATATAGGGACCATGGTAAAGGTGATCAACTAAAGAGAGAATAACACATCGCTCCCATATATTAGGGATTCTCAAACTAACTATTGCAAGAACCGCCTACCCTTTTAACCTAACAAGGCTAAAGTGAATTGGAGGGGTTATACATACTAAGATAATGGCCTATTGTTCTAAACTAAATGAGGAAACAAAGAGGACCTCACACTTAATTTCATTTTAAGAACATTAGTACATGATAAAATATAGTATTTGAGTTTCTAACCTTCACTGTGGCTTTGGTAGAGTACTTGGTTCGCTTTTCCGTTTCTTAGTTGCTTTTGCATCAGTCACAAGTATTGACTCGTCTTCCCTAATTCTCTTCGCACCACTCACAGATGTTGACTCTTCTGGTAGAAACATGGTTGGTTTTTCAGTGTATGATAAAAGAACCAGAGAACCTGCATTTTTGTCTGGTGTTCTGGATGATGACCTTTGTAGCTGAATTCTGAAAAGTTTATCAGCAAGTAGTTGATTGATATGGGCAACGGGGAGTAATTCATTCTGCAAAAAGATAGGAAAAAATAGTAGATATCATATCAGACTATTATATTAACTTTGCTGACCTATGTTAACTACAATGTCGTATGTGTATGTACCTTAACAGTGGTGATATCATATATTTGTTCAGCTGTCATTGACAATATTCTTTCGCCCAAGCCTTCAGACACTGTTGCTGTTGTTGTGTCAGTTTCGTCTGTAATTTCTACCTCAAAGTGGCACCTATGATGTGGTATGTTTTAGTTGAGGTACAGTAGATGGCATATAATATCAAATATTGTCAATGACACAATCTTATTAGTAGTAGTTGTTACTTTGGAATTAACATTCGTGGCAATCTGCAGTTTATGCATTGAATCTCCCTTTTTATTTTGCTCCGAACAACATGGTTACATTCAGAACAACCTAGCAGGTAAAATCGTTGGAAATGCTCAGGTAGTGAAATTTCTCCTTCGACGTAAAAAGTTGCCGCCTGCAAAGTGTTAACACAGAGAAGCAATAGGAGGAAAACTTAGTATAAAAGATACATATTGTATAAAAGATACATGGTGTGACAGTTTTCGGCATTTTATTTTATAATTTAGTGTCATCATACGTTTGAGATATAGGGAAGAATCACATAAAGGGATTAGAATCACAGTTTTATAGACACCAGTAGAAATCTCTCAGCCTACCATATTGTTTAAATGCGAACATATAGAGAGAATAATCAAGTTATACAAATAGTGATTTCAAAGGAAAGGGTGGTTGTAGTTGGAAAACTATAATTATTGTGATTCTGTTTGATAAGTAGAGGCACTAATTACATCAACATATATATTTGTTAAATTAGCTTTCTTACTCTGGTTCAGTTTTCAAAATCTTACTTTATCTAATTTCTCGGTTTCAAGGATAATGGATAAATTGCTTATTTAACTAATTCTAGCTGCCTGTGAAATAGTTGTTTTCCAGAGATCCAAATAAGAGTTACTCATGCAGTCAAAAAGCTCCTTTATTCCATTCAGTTGTTGTATGTCTACTGATACAGTACTAATGGCATCTCGTAGAAATAAATGTAAATGTCCAAGAAAAGAAAGAATGACATGGATTGCCTTTATCATCTTCAAGAACAAGTCAACATATTACATTTATGAGTTGCATTTGTTAGTATTCTTACTGAGCAAGTAATAGAGAAGATAAAGTCCTTTTGCATTGCCTTTGTGTAGTAGGGCGCAGTGAGAACAATCAAAAATCAAGCAGATCAAAAGCCCAATGAGAGTACTCACAGTGGAGGTTTGCGTAGCAATAGCTGAAACAGTTAATATTTCATCATCAACAGCTACAAGATTAAGCGATGAAGCTGACTCTGTTGAACTCTTCACTGTGTATTCTATTAGCATTTGTTTGTTCTCATTTATCCTGTAATTCGCACAGGAAATATCAGACAACTATTTTTCCACAGAAGAAATAACAGTTAAATAATAATGTGATACATTTTAAGCATAGTTTGTATTGTACCACTTTCGTAATTCAGTTGCTTGCACATATAGGGGATTGATTAAGATTGTTGAGTTGTATCTTGTTGCCAAACGGGTAACTGTGTATGCAAATTTTGTTAATAACCAACGCGCAATCATAATCCATATGTAGGAACAGGAGCTGCATGAATTTTGTGGTACCTATCCGCTTCGCGAGAATAATAGGATATTCTTGTAGTTGCCTCACTTGTCTCAGTAATTCAGCTCCTTCATTGCTTGCCAAATCTTCCCATATAGTGAAGAAGAGAGGTTTCTTCCTGTACATGTACTTTTATAAGTGCCCGGTAGAGATGTTGTTATGTAACAGAAGATTAAATGACTCACATTTTGTCCATTACTATGGCCTCTTGAAATCTCTTGCTCTGATCAGCGGTGTATTGCGTTGGCCCACAGTTTGCCACCACAGCTAATAGATCTGTTGTTATAAACAAAGAACAAATGTACGTAAAAGCAATATAGTTGCATTCAACATGAGTTCCAAGCAATTAAGCTGTTATAAGGCGTAGGATTATTTGAAACATACCAAATTCAACACCCGAAGGCTGTTGTGCAACGTCGACGAACGAAATTGTACTCAGTCTCGATGGAGGAGGTAACGGTGTTTCCTTCTCATTATTTTTTGGGATAGATTCCATAATAGTAAATCTGTCAACGATCCACTCAAATTGGCCTACATGTAGTGAATAAGGCTGTGGATTTCTAACCTTGGCAGTTGAAATCAGATACGTCTCAAAAAGTTCGAACAAGTTATCACATCTTCTAATATCGTCACCATAAAGTATCACACAAACTTGTTCCTCCTACAATGTTATTAAGAATGATAACTAAGTAATTATTGGAAGAGTACAAATGAAAAGAAGTTATGTTACAATTATAGTTATAACTTGACTTACGTTTACATCCTGGACAATTATTGTTTGAAAATGAACTCGCTGATCCCTACTGTCTCGCGGCCGAAATTTGTCTACAGGCTGGACTTTGCAAGTCCATTCTGTAGTTAATGGTGTAATTTCACTAATACTAAGCCTTTGTTCCATTTTATATTATTACTGCAAATCGTAGAAAAGTAAGCAGACTTCCTTTCGCGACAGGAGAATAAAGAAGATGGAAAGTGAAGAAAAAGCAAATACAATCTTTTTATTGAGAATGATAAAGTGAAAACAAACACAATCTAAAGGAAAATTTGCAAGTAAAGATAAGAGTTCTGTACATTTCATATTGTAGTGGAATTTTTAACAAAAACAGGACTGGAGCTTTAGTCTTAAACATAAGTACTCAAGTTAATTTCCATTCAACTTATAATTTCAATCATTCTAACTGTACTTTCTTATGCTTTTGTAGTCTGTCTGAAATCTTCTTACATGTCACTAACTATTGAATATACCTATACAATGTTCTAATTTACTGACCGTCAGTAAAGAATATACAAGAAAGTTTGTCAGCTTCACCCCAAATAAAATGGAAATTACTAACAACTAATCTATTGTATTTCAGACTTTAGCTCTTTTGTTTTAACTGTAGTGCCTAACTAATATATAGTGGATGAACTATGATTTTGATATCAAAGTTGTGTACGGGCTTAAGAGTGTTAGTCCACTAGTATAATAATATGCATTGTGTTTCTGCCAGCTCAGACTGATCAACGGCAACCCTGACATTGATGTTGATTGTTAAAATAGATAAAGTAGGAGAAAAAATTTGCAGTTTAATAGTTGTCACTTGTTATTCTGTTGTTCATGTGTTTGTATTAAAAGAATTTAAGCTAATGGCTATATGCTTACAAATACTTCGTACCCAATTTTGCTAGGAGATAATGTAGTAAGACTGTTAAACATCAAGATGGGAGGGAAGATTATCAGTTCTATATGTTAGTTTCAATATTTAGCCATATACAAATGTTTCATTTTTTTGCTGCTGATGAATGGATTGTTCATTTGCTAGACAACACTGAATGTAAAAAAACAAGAATACACAGTAACATCCATAAATTGCAGCAATTTTAAATCTTTTTCGGAATAAATAAACGGTACATTCTCTATCTGGAAGTTTTGAAGGACGGGTATGTTAACATTTTTAAGAAGAAATTTAAATTTTTCCAGGAAAGTGAGGCTGGCAAGAAGCAAGATGCATGGTGTGTTTCAACATTGAGAAAACTACAAGAAACAGCCCCATTGATCTTGAAGGTTTCACTGAGATCTGTAAGTTTTTTTAGATAAAATGTTCTCCTTTTCCCCCCTGATCTAATTTCTTTGGCTTGTTCCTATTGCCAAGCTTGAAATTCAACTAATCTTCTACTTAGAGAACGTATTAAAGTAAAGCTTTAGCCAATCCATGAATAGATCAATGAGTTTCTGTTAAAATTTGATTATGCCCACCATTTTTTCACTATTGCAAAGAGTTTTCTTTCCTTTTTGTTCCAATATTTTTCATCTCCTGACTTTTGAATGCGTACAAGGAAAACTCACGTTTCCAGGCTTCAATTATAGTAAAAGTTCTGCCTAGAATAAGTTAAAGCTATTACTTTTGCTACTTGATTTCTTATATGTCACATTCTGTCAACTATGGAAGTTCATGAACATAAAGCCTTGACATAATTGTTAATAGGTCAATGATTTTGTGGTTTTGTTATTTAAGTGTAATTGAAGCTTTGAACAAGAAAAAATACAATAAAGCTGAAACAGGAATTTTATCAAACACTAACAGGACAAAAAGAGTAAACAACTGCAGCACCACAGGTTTAGGTCAGACAAAAATCAACATGAACCCAATCCTACTATGCATAATATCCATTTACAATAGTTACAAATGAGGCGGCAAAGAAGATCTTACAATGAGAAGGAGTTAACTTCGGGGCTTAAGCTACAGGTAGCTTTTTCTTGCTATAAACACCCTTTCTTCACAATGATACAGGCTATAAAAAAATCCACAAACAAAATATTGATATTCCATTTCAGTTCTTGGCCCTAGAAAACTTTGAATTTTTCAATAGAATTCGAATTCAAAAACATCGAAAACAATAGCACAATCAGCAAAAAAGATAAAGAAATTGCACTTATGGATATGCAAAATAAGTTGTTATTAAAGATCAGAGAAGCTGAGTTTGTTGGTAAGGAAATTACACTGATAGAGACAGAAAATCGATGATTTCCAGCAGAAGCTCACGGAGAAAATTCCATAGAAGATACAGAGGAAGACAGATGGTGGGAGTAAAATCCGGTGAAATTTCGTGGAAAACATCGACATGTATCTGTAGATGCATTCTCATCTCATATGCAGCTTACTCAGCAAAGTTCAGTGCACGTGTAAGCGTAGGGCAAAATAGAAGATATGTGAAAATACCTAAAATACCCTTTAGCAGCAAGCAGACATGACCAAATAGCCCTTGCTAAGCAAGCAGGGATGTCGACGGTCTCCTGCTTGCTTCTGCGCTCTTCTATATAGTAGAATATCGATTGGGGCTCAACATTGTGTTTGCCTGCAAATCTTTACACGTACCGCAGAGGACGAGAGATGCACATAGACATCACTCTGGAAATTACCGTGTTGCTAACAAAAGTATCAGAAGCATTTCCTCTGTAAAATCACAGTTCACAAAATTGAGTCTTATTCCTTTTTTTATAATTGAAATTTTGTCTTAGGATTCGGACACATAATCACACATCAAAAATATTAACTAAAAAATGGAGAGTGCAAATGCCAAACAGTTCTAATTGCGGGAAACCATGGTATTAAAATGCAACAGAAACAAAATAGAATGGATTGGACAGCCATTATCATCTCCTAATCCCACTTCACCTCTTCATTCATCAAAACCTCACCTCGTTACCTTGAAACTCTGCAAATCAGAAGACAGCAAAAATGAGATGCAAAAGCTGCCATAGAACTACTTTTGAACACCCTTGATATGGTCACGAGCCAAAAAATGATATTCTAATCATATTGTTTCTGAATATCCAAAAATGGCACACACAATAACCAACCCCCTCCCCCGTGGCGGAGATAGGATTTCTGCTAAGGGGGTTCGGAAAAAGAAAAAATCCAAAAATCTAAAAGAGACTGTGGCAAGTGGGAATAGAACCAACAACCTCACAAATGTTTTGAACCCCCTAGATCACTAAGTTATGCTTTTGGACTATGTCAAGGAGATTCAAAATATAATATATAGAGACACAAAACGAATTTTGCCTTCCGGCGAAGGGGTTCACGCCCCTTCATTTTTTCAACTTTCAGCCAAATCTATGTCCAAACGCTAGCTTTGTCGTCGTTTCATTAGAAATTGTATCTTTTGCACAGGAAGAAATGTAATCTCAATAGTCTAGGAGAGACATATATTCAATTTGAGCCATGTAATTACACCATCAATCATCCCTTTTGAAACAAGAGATAAAACCTGACCCCATCTCAGCCCAAAATTCAGATTTCTCTTTTTTTGTACCAAGAAGCCTCAGTAGTTCAGTAAAGAAAGCATACCCTGACCTCAAGTGATGACATCAAAGAGACATTTCGTTCAAAACAGAACATTTAGGCAACTTTTAGAACACATACCTTCACCCTTTTCATAAGATCTTTGGCTTTCTGATCATTCTTAAAATGATCACGTACCTGCTGCATATCAAATTTAAATGAGTCAGGAGGACATCTGAAGAAAGGTGGAATAAAAAATATATAAACTATACAAAGAAATAAAATTTGTGGTGTTCTGATCTTGAGTAACAGTAGCCTATTTAACATTAACTATACCATCTGAAGCTCATGTGATACCAGCCATCATGTGCACAAACATAATTTACTATCAGTTGATGTTAAATTGCAAATCTGATTGACCACACTAAGTATAAAAAATAAGGACCTTGAAATTCAAGCTATTAACTTTAAGAATATACAAAATACTCTATAAACAAAGAAGTTATTCTAGGGTGCTGATGCTGTATTAATCATGAGGTAATAACACCAATGGCCTGTTTGGCCAAGTTGGGAAAATCAGCTTATTCTGAGAATTGTTTTTTTTTTTTCAAAAGTATTTTTGGTGAAAAGCAGTTTGTGTTTGGCTAATTAATTTGAAAAGCACTCCTAAGAAGCAATTAGTGTTGGCCAAGCTTTTAAAAAGTGCTTCTAAGTGTATATTTCAAGTGCTTTTTGGAAGAAGCTACTTTTTTTTGCTTCTCCAAAACTGCTTTTGCTTCTCCTCAAAAGCACTTTTTTTTTTCTTCTAAAAGCTTGGCCAAACACTTCAACTTTGAAAAAAAAAACAAAAAAAAAGTGCTTTTCAGCTTGGAGAAACTTGGCCAAACAGGCTACAAGTCACCAACTATAAAAAGATTACTTTTCACATTAATGCTACTACAGTAAAATGGAATATAAAAAATACAGAGTCAATACATGACAAAGAGGAAATTTGCAAATGTATATATATTAAACTTCAAACAGGGACTGAATAAGATATTGGTGTAAATACCAATTATCAGCTCAGTAAGATGTATCATCTACCTGTAATATCTTATTGATTGCTTTTGATAATGTAGGTTTCAGGTCCGCAGGATGCAAGTACCCATTTTCATAGTCAGCAGCCAGTTCTTCAAAATTCTGTCCTAGTGTGGGAAAGAGAATAAAACAAAAGATGAGCTAAAAAACAGTACTTTGGTTAGCAAATCAGCTGAATGGATATGAATAAATGCATGGCATGACTCACTTGTCGCCACCATTCTCAGCGCTTCGCTCAATTTTGAACTCATTAAACCAAGGGATGACGATATACTTGATGTACTCCAGACATGGATTCTTTTCTACAACCTTCGGTGGACAAAAAGCCTTCTTTATCTTGAGATTTACATCTGCCTTTGATGTTCAAGCATGGCACAGGAAAAAAAATACATCAGTTCATTAGAACATCAGTGGCAACAACGACTACCTGTTAATTAAGAACAATGACTCTCAACCTAAAATCAAATGTAGCACAGTGTTACATGTAACTAATATATATAGTTAGATAGCCTAGAGGTAAAATCTGAAAATACCTCTTCATCCTCCATGTAGATAGAAGAAGAGGGGTCACTCTTTGACATCTTCTCTTGACCTTCCTGCAAACCAGGGAGCATGTCTGCACACCAATATGATAAGAAAACAAACACATTAAACAAAGGAGTTAGTCCAGTGAAAAGAGTTTTTGAATTCTAGCATACAAAATGATCATCGTACGATGAGACAATATGATAGGCTTGTTTTTCCTCTTGGTATCATCACAGTACTCTCTTGCAAGTACGTTAACTTTTCAGTGGTCCATGCCTAGTTGACAGATGTCAGCCTGTGAAAAGAAAAATTCCACACTTAGCTGGCAAAAGAATTAATTAAAACAAATAATTACCACCGTGGCACAGACCATAGAAGATTGAACAAAAGCAGACATAAAAATAGGCAACAAATGAAACAAATAGTATGCAGCTTTCATATATCTGTGCATATAAGAAGCATATACCACTGAAACTAGAAACTCAAGGCAAGCAGGCTTTACGCATATGGAGATAATTTAAAACACCTGACAACACTTTTTTACTGATTGACCTAGACAAGCAAGAACAAGGTTGTCAACTTTCATTGCAGGGGTAACCAAAACAAGCAAGAACAAGGTCTCAAATCAGATAACAGGGGTAACTTGCCTCCCAAAAAAAAAGAATAGCAGTGAAGGTGCTTCTTTTCTTCCTAACAGAGGTCCAACAAAGGATGCTTGTATTTAACATATCTAGCTAATTAAACCACAAAGAAATTTTACAAAATGGTTATAAGAACAGATTACCTTAAGGAAGAATATGTCAGCACATTGCATGCATGGGTAAAAAATCTGGGCCGCAGTCAGCTCATCTTGCTCAGACCGACCCATAATTTGGCAACACCTTAGAATGAAGAAAAAACATGTAAGTAATAACTGACTGATCCTTTTAGCAGAAGAAAGAGAGTTTTTGATCCGTGGAAGCTTGTTCCTTCGAGCTATGTCCATAACAAGAGGCCAGTATTCATGAGCTCTAGAGTTAATCTCTTTTGAAGACCACAGAAATTCCACTTGACCCCCTTCAAGATTCATTCCCACACTCTTCCATAACTCAATCAAATATTCACCAACAACCTCAATTTTCTTCAAATCACCACCCATCTTGTTATTTAGTTGTGCAAACCAATCTGCAATCCAGATCTTCACCTTGCAGCCGGCCGAAGTCAGTTTGTTGACATTGAGTGCCTTCAAAACTCCCTGTTTAACAAAAAAAATTAAATAGAAAAAAGCAACAACATGCTAAAAGAACATATAACTGCACGAAAGATCCTCCCCCAAATTTCATCTGGAAGAAGTATATTGCAACTAACAATCATGAGAACAGGAAAAACAGTCATGTTCAAGTAGAATTATAAAACAAACCTTAATTAAAAAAATGTAGAATTCTAATACAAAATAAGCCACACACAATGTGGAAGCTAGACACTTTGCAAATGGCAACATTTTTATTATCTTTATTCCAGTAAGTTAAGATGCCCCCGGGGAACTCACATCTATGTACCTGAGCAATGTGCATTCGACCAGAAGGCTCAAAACCATCATAGCAGATGGGCTGCGGCTTCTTTGCTAACATGTCCATCAACTCATCCTCCTGTATGCATTCCTCCCCAATATTCCTAATAATCTTGAACCTCTCCTCCACACTCATCCTAAATCATTTGCATAAAATAACAAATTCAATGTCAAATTCGAAAAAAAATGCATCCATATGCAAACAAAAAAAAACCATTCCACAGATCAATACAGAAATCAATGAATCCTCAATCCCAAACTAATTGGGATGGCTATATGATTTACTTTTTTATTTTTGACGACGGTGGTATCCGGGTTAGTTTGCGGACACCTCAACTACTCCACTGGGTACTTGGTACCTCCCACCAGCAAATGTACCGGGATAACTCAGCACATTAAGACTTAGGCAGATGAAAAGAATTACCTAATGTAGTATTTATTTGCCTCCCGTTGGGATTTGAACCTAAGGAATCATGATTCTCCTCCCACTTTATTGACCACTGGGATACACCCTTGGGTGCAGGATGGCTATCAGTGGCGGAGCCACATGCACCAAAGGCCCTTCGCCGGAAAATTACATTGTATAGCTCGGTATATTTTTTAAAATGGGTATATATACTATATAATGACACCCCTTGACTTCTTGGTTAGTTTATTTCTTTATATTTTGACTCCCCTTAATGAAAATCCTGGCTCCGCCACTGACGGCTATATGAGTCTTCTATGTATGTTTCATGCTATTCGGGTCCATTTCATTCCAATATTCAATAATTTGTCAGGGCTCTATAAATTTCTAAGATTACAGGTTATTAACAGAATTCACTAGATCTTCAGAAATTAAACAGAGAAAAACAGTACTCCAAATAGAAATTATATGATCCTTGAGAGCAAATAGAGGCAGAAGCTTACTGGGAAGTGGCGATGGAAGTGTCGGATGAAGAAGCCTTCAATGAGAGTGCATCAATGGCTTCTGAACCCTCTTGATTATTCATTATCCTGCAAAACGACACTTGAATTAGGGTATTATGTGATATTTTCGTAGTTCAATAGCTCTTCAGAAATTACACAGCAACAAAAAAAAAAAAAAAAAAAAAAAAAAAAATTACTGGGAAGTGGAAATTGGAGGTTTAGATGAGGAATCCTTCAAAGAGAGAGCATTAATGGCTTCCGACGCCTCTTGATTATCCATCTTCCTCTGCAGCAGATGTACGGATGTAGTATGATCAGACTATTTATCTCACTTTCCCGTAGGTTTTTAAAACTTATACTATCAGCTCTAATCTAACGGATGCTGTAAACTCTATTTACAGTTAAGTCAATGAATTATTAAGCAGATGTTAAAAAGTCAACTCCTGAATCGGAAATGTTTCCCTTTTTTTTTTTTTCGAAAGTGGGAAATTGGCTAAATAATTGATTTTTTTAAATTTTTTTCCATCACCTTTTTTTAAGTGCTCCACAATAGGGCTGTTCAAAACCGAACCGAATCGATGGCTTATTGGCTTATTGGTATCAGATTATCGGGTAATGGATGGTGAACAAATTGAAATTTTAAAATTAATGGCTTAACGGTTTGGGGGCGGATTACTCAATTTTCTTATAGGGTAAACCTTTAACCGTTAAGAATTTTTATATTTACAATTTTACCGCCATATATATAAACTTGTTACTACATTGTTGTATAGAGTAAAATATGCTATGCTATGTGACCGTCCAAAAAAAGGGACACGTGGAACCTAAGACGGGGGATAGCTAAAATCGAAGGCAATTGTCTCGTCTGTCACCGAAAAGAATAACACTCATAAAGATGCAATAAATACCCTCCGCCCGGTAGCATTTAATGGAGAATATTCCACAGCATTTAGTGCGCTGCCTGTTACAGAGAATTTATGCTCACCGTTACACCTTCTTCAATAGCCCTCATAATTGACATTAAAAGAGAGCATGATCCCAGGACCTTGTTCTCTAGGTGCAGCTATAAATATTGAGCTTTGTTATCATTGTAAAGGACATGCCTTTTCTGGCAAACTTACGCTATAATCGATTAAAATCTTTATATAATTTTACTTTCTTATTCCTTGGTTTCGTCACTATTGTGCCCGGAAGCTCTGTCCCCGAATTTTTTTTTTTTTTTGTGATTTTTTCTTCATTTCAAGGCTAAGTATTGCACATTTCTTTAATCATTTCATTATTTCAGGATCAAATTAATTCACTTGTTCGCCAACCATTGGCTTCAAAGTTGAGGGTGTTCTGCTAAATGGGAACCCCTGCTGTGATCCATGGTAGTTGTGGGCCTGGAGCTGCTAGTATCGCGGCTAACCAAGGGCGAGCCGCATCACCCAGTTGACATGTCTCCAGATATTGTATCGGCTCTATATCCTCGAGCCCCAAGTAAGAGTTCAAGGATGTTTGATCAAATCTAACCTTCAAATTTCTCACCTTAGTCACCTTAGTCCCTTTCTTGATGTGCGCCACATTGGCGTAAAATTCTCGGACTAAGTGTTCTTTGGCGTCCACCACAGCTTGGGTGAAGCATGACGACCACCCTTTTCTTTCTCGAAAGTGTCTTGCCACATTCGAGGTGTATCTATCCAAATCCTTCAAATCAAATTTACTCTCAAGAGTGTGCGATCTTTGAGTCCACAATTCTCTGAACCTGTTGAAGGCAGTTAAGCTCACGAATCTGTCCTCCCAAACTTCCTTCTTCTTCGACCTCTTTAGGCCGGCAACTCGAGTCTCACCCCCTCGACTGTCATCAGGCATATCCTCATCATCATCAACTGGGATAGGTGCTGCGTGGGCATGTGAGGAAGAGGGCTCTGAATCTTGGCTACTCTTTTCCGAACCCTCAGAAGAGCTAGCTGAGGGGAAGGCTCATCTCTAAGTTGTAGTTTACCCGGAAGCTGTTATTGTTGAGATTGTGCATCGGGTTGCGCTTGCAAAGAATTGTCCTCTGAGTCTTCCCTAGACGGTAGATATTCGCTGGATTCTGAAGGTTCTGGGACTGTTCTAGCAGTTGCCTTCTTGCTTATTACTCTTTGGACTGAGAGTGGGAGGTTGCCCCTGCCTCGGCGTCGGCCTCGGGAGGGTTTACCCCTCCCTTTGGGAGTATGACCTCGACCACGATATCTCACCATTGTCTGCAATTCATAGAAATATGATTCAGTTAAGTCCACATTACAGTGTAAAACAATTGCAGACAGTTGCAGGAAAAACAGAAGCAGGGTCAAGAAGTGCGGTCCGCACAATAATGAGTGCGACCGCACAAAGGCAAGTGTGGACCGCATAATTTTGAAGTGCGCCTGCAGCCTTGACTCTGCGGTCCGCACAATTTCTTGTGCGACCGCACAATTGAAGTGCGAACTGCACAATTTTGAGTGCGGCCGCACAATTCCAGTCTCAAACTAGCAACTCTCTGATATTAGAGAATGGGTCAATCTGCGACAGCAGTCTAATTTCTGCGGACCGCATAATTTCGAGTGCGGTCTACATATTCAACTCACATCAACTGCCTTACACGACGGACTGCGGACCGCTACAATTTCTTGTGCGGCCGCACAATTCAAAAATTTACGGCAGTTACTCTGGGTTTCTAACTTCTACGCAAAAATTAAACAAGGCAAGGCTAATTAAACATGATAACTAGTCTACCCATCCCCCATTTAGCAAGCATGAAGTTACCCATATGAAATTAAGCCCACATGATCTTTAATTTTATGATTAGGGCTCAAAATAACCAACTTACTATGAACAAAAATTAAGAAAACTGAAAAACTCTAAGGATGAATTTAACATATCAGTGATGTAGTGATGCAAGGAATAGATTAAGATGATGAAATGAATGTGAGAAACTTGATTGGATGAGGGTACTGTGCTTTTGCCTTTTGTGAATATGCAAAGTGTATAAAGTCTGAACAGGAGCATGAAGCCCTCTATTTATACTTGATGCACATGGCAAGGGATATAGAGATGAGTGCGGTCCACACAATTTCACGTGCGGCCGCACAATTTCATGTGCGGCCGCACTCCTATACCTGTTACCAAAACACCTTCGATCATTATGGGGTCCGCACTATACTCAATGCGATTGCAAAATTTGTGCGGACCGCATACTTTCATGTGCGGCTGCAGATTGGCCCCTTTTTCTATCATACCAACTTCAGAGAAGTTGCATTTTGGGTCTGCAGATGTGCAGCCGCACAATGAATTGCGGGACCGCAAATTGCATTCTGCTGTTGCATTCAAAATTGTGCGGTCCGTACTTTTTCAATATTTAGCCAATTTTTCTATGCACAGTCCCTGCAAAGCACACTCATTCGTGCATACACTTCGAAACTAGTTAGCACATAACAAAACCTATTTAAAGAAGAAGAAAAAGATAAAGAAAAAGACACATGGATTTCCTCCCACGAAGCGCCTGATTTAACGTCACGACACGACGCAGATTACCAATAACTTGAAATGAAGAACTGCCACGACGTGGCCATTATCAACTTTTCCAAGATAGTGCTTCACCCGGTGCCCATTGACTCTAAAAACTTAATCATTCTTATTTTTCAAGTACAATGCACCAAATGGCGTCACACCAACAATCTCAAATGGGCCACTCCATTTTGTCTTCAACTTTTCCGGAAACATCCGTAACCGAGAATTGAACAATAACACAAGATCACCTTCTTTAAACTCCTTGTTTCGGATGTACTTGTCATGGAGGTGCTTCATCTTCTCCTTGTATAAGGAAGAACTTGTATATGCATGGTACCAGAATTCATCTAGGTCATTCAATTGTGTCACCCTTAAGTTGGCGGCGACATCCCATTCAAGGTTCAACTTCTTCAAAGCCCACATGGCCTTATGCTCAAGTTCCACTGAAAGATGACAAGCTTTCCCGAACACCAACCGGTATGGAGACATCCCAATCGGTGTTTTGTATGCTGTCCTATAAGTCCATAAAGCATCATCAAGTTTTCTTGACTAATCCACCCGGTTGGCATTCAGTGTCTTTGACAAAATACTCTTTATCTCCCTGTTGGAGACTTCTACTTGACCACTTGCTTGAGGGTGATAGGGGGTCGAGACTTTGTGAGTGACACCATACTTGGTGAGTGAGAAAAGCCTTGTTGCAAACATGCGAACCCCCATCACTTATGATAGCCCTTAGAGTACCAAATCTTATAAAGATGTTCTTCTTCAAAAATGCCACCACACTCCTCGCTTCATTGTTGGGCAAAGCAACGGCCTCAACCCATTTAGACACATAATCAACCGCGACTAGAATGTAGGTGTTTCCATAAGAGCTCACAAATGGACCCATGAAATCAATACCCCACACATCGAAAATATCTATCTCTAAAATGGTGGTGAGAGGAATTTCGTTTTTCTTTGAGATTCTACCGGCCTTTTGGCATTCATCACAACGCTTGACAAGCTCACTAGCATCCTTGTAGATAGTAGGCCAATAGAATTCATAACTCAACACTTTTGCTGCCGTTCTAGCTCCACCATGGCGACCACCATATGGTGAATAGTGGCAAGCCACAAGAATTCCCACTTGTTCCTCCTCCGGCACACATCTTAAAATCACACCACCGCTACAAATCTGGAAGAGATACGGTTCATCCCAATAATAGTCAAGGAAATCCCGTTTGAGCTGCTTCCTTTGGTTCAAGAGAACTGATTCGATACAATGCCACTCAAAGATAACTTGCTAAATCGGCAAACCATGTCATCTCGGTCATTTGCTAAATATTGCTCGTCGGTAGAGGAATCATTGATCTCAAGGCCGTCATGTGGCCTCCTCTCATCCTCCAATCGAGACAAGTGGTCCGCACTTGATTTTCACCGCCTTTGTGGTCTTGGATTTCTAGATCGAACTCTTGCAATAAAAGCACCCACTGCATTAACCTCGCCTTTGAATCCTTCTTGCTCATTAAGTATCGAAGCGCTGCATGATCGGTGTGGAAAATCACCTTTGTACCCATCAAGTATGGGCGGAACTTCTCCATAGCAAAGACAATAGCAAGGAGCTCTTTCTCGGTCACGGTGTAATTGAATTGGGAATCGGTCATGGTCTTACTAGCATAGTATACCGGATGAAAGATTTTGTTGATACGTTGCCCCAAAACTGCTCCAACCGCCACATCACTTGCGTCACACATGAGCTCAAAAGGCAAGCTCCAATCTGATGCTGTGATAATATGAGTAGTTGTCAATTTGAACTTGAGTAATTCAATGCCTTCATGCAATTCTCATTGAAATGGAATTTGGCATCCTTCTCCAAAAGCTTACACAAGGGG